CTTTAGCGGTGTCGAATGTTTTGATTGGTTCTGTCTTGTTTCTTTAGCGGTGTCGAATGTTTTGATTAGTTCTGTCTTGTTTCTTTAGCGGTGTCGAATGTTTTGATTGGTTCTGTCTTGTTTCTTTAACGGTGTCGCATTCAGTATGGACACCAAAACTAAAGAAACAAGACGGAAGCAGTTAATTTAAAAATTCAATCTCACAAGAGTAGTTTTTAACTCTAAATGTCGAAAATATTTTGAAACTTTTAAATTTCTCAAAATAATCCCAATAAATAATTTTGTTTGTAGAAATTATATCTTTTGATAATAATAATTATAACAGCGTTTGCCATCTCAGTCTTTGGAATATATGGAGTTATCTTGGAAAGTTTTGTTTTTTTAATGGAAACAAATTACATATATCTCGCTTTTAAATGCTGGACGAAAAAAGTATTTAATACATTTTATAAAATAAATATAAGACATCTCAAAATGAAATGATTTTCCCGTTTTTTAACAAATAAAAATAGAAACTACTTAATGAGAAATGTAGTTATTTCTCCATCTATATATCTAATAAGAAAAAATTCTACCAAAAAAAACAAACAATGGGACATTTCTGTTTACATGTCTCCCAGTGGCACGGTGGTATGCCTGCGGACTTATACCACTATAAACCGGGTTTGACACCCGTTGTGGGCAGAGCACGGATAGCCCATTGTGTAGCTTTGTGCTTAATAACAAACAACGACAACTGTTTACATACCGTGAGGCATTAAATGAATCACCAGTAACGGGTAAGCAACATTAGTACATCCGTTTTCACTTCCACATATTTCCTTACATACTTCCGGTTTGGAACAGCCAATCTCGTCTGCAAATAAATAGCAGTTTTATTAATTACAAAATAAAACTTTCATTTATATGTTCATTTATTCAGCAGACGAAATATTTGTAGTTTTTACAGGAACTGATAGTACTATAAGAAAGTTGTTTAGCAACGTTACCTGGAAAACAACAACAACAACAACTACAAAATAAAAGTATACGTATTGTGTATTTATTTGTTGAGTTTCGCGAAGAGCTCCATTATCCATGGACTAGTCAATACCACCCACCGCCAAATCTGGAACTACTCTAATCGAATATTGAGGTTCACCTTCACATAATAATACCCCCACGGCTGCAAGGGTGAGCATGTTCGACGATGGGATTCGAACCCGCAGATTGCGAGTCGAGTGTCATAGCTACTAAGCCATATCAGGCCCGTGCGTATGGTTAAGATACTAGAAAAAGAATATGAAAAAAAAACAGATTTAATGACAGATAATCATAAAAGTTACTGTTTATTACACTGGACGTAAACATAATTAAAAGAAACAAAGGGAAAATATATAGACTGATTAATAATTTTTGTAAACATTGCATGATCACATTAGATACAACTGCAGGGAACTGGAATTAAAGCAAACAAATCTTAAAATGTGTATAATTACTTCTATGGCAATAAAAGAAGTATCTACAGGTTCAATTATTTTTATTAAAATTAGCTGGAAATTTTTTTCCTTTTCAGTTGTTAGAAAACTATAATGCTGTCTACGAGTTAATAAATAAAGCTTTCGTGACCAACCGGGTACCACTCTGAATCATCCTAACCTAATATAATGTATAGGGACAACAAGGGACTTATTGGTAAACCTAGGCCGTCCCATCTTCTAACCTAAACTAAAACTATTATATAAAAGAAAAACTCTGAAAGCAAGCCCTTATCGTTCATATAGTTATCACGCTTTCTCTTAAACTCGTTTAAATTTACTGTCTCCACAACATCCGAAAGCAACCTGTTCCAAAGACCAACCACCCTGTTAGAAAAATAGAACTGACTTAGCTGAAGATAACTCCTACACTGCCAAAACTTATACTTGTGTCCGCTAGTCCTACTATTCTCATCATTAGGTATGAAAAAAGGTGATGGATCAACACTATCAATTCCCCTAACAATTTTAAACATTTAAATCAGATCTCCTTTAACTCTTCTCTTTTCAAGATAAAACAATTTCAGAGGTCTTAACCTCTTCTCATTCTAGTATCCCTCCTCTGAACCCTATCCAACAATTCAATGTCCTTCCTAACGTAAATAGCCTAAGACTGGACACAATACTCCATATGTGACCTAACCAGTAACCTATACAATGAAGTTATAACCTCCTTAGACGTCTATTCAATATTTCTATACATACAACCTAAAATACTATTTGCCCTACCACTAACAATAGCACACTGCTTGGATGGCTTAAGAGACTAATCAACCACGACACTAAGATCATTCTCTTTCATAACACTGTTAAGGTTATTCTCATCCAAATTATACTTATAATTCAAATTATGATACCCCACATGTATTATCTTGCATTTATCATAATTAAAACCCATCTGCCATTTATTTGCCCAACTCACTAAATGATCTGAATCCTCTTCACAGCTAGACCTTAATATTATCAGAAAATTTAAGTAGTTTCTTGATCATTCCTTCATCTATGTCATTGATGTAGATCAAAAAGAGCAAAAGCCCTAAGGCTGAGCCCTGAGGTACCCCACTTGTGACATTAATCCAGTTTGACTAAACTCCATTTGTAACAATCCTCTGCTTTCTTCCATATAACCACTCTTTTATCCAATTAGCTAGCTTATCACCCACACCTATAGAGATAATTTTTATAAGCAATTTATGTGGCACCTTTTCAAATGCTTTCTGAAAATCCAGATACACCTTTACCCTCATCTACATAAGTAATATTCCTTTTAAATAATGTCAAAAGATTTCTTAGGCAAGATTTTCACTTAGAGAAACTATTTTCACTATCCAATGACATTCTAAAGTTTGTTAAATGACTTTGCAAAGCATCTGTTATCAGACTTTTCAAACCTTTTCGCACCACTGATGCAAGACTAATAGGCCTATAATTACAGGGACAATTTTTATCGTCTCCCTTGGAAAGAGGAATAACATTAGCCAACTTCCAATCCTCTGGCATCTGCCTACTATTCAAGGACTTACAAAAATATTAGTAACTAGTTCACATATCCAAATCTTAACCTCCTTCAATACCCTTGTGGAAATATTATCTGGCCCAAGACCCTTATCGTTCGTTAAACTTCTCAATTTTTTCTTCACAAGCTCAGAATTAATGCAATAATCTTGTTTCCATCTATCAACTGTTCAATATGAGGAATACTGCTTCAATCTTCATTAGCAAAAACCGAAGAAAACGTAGAAGCTAATTAGTAGATTCCTTGACCAATTGGTGAAAAAAGAAACATCTTTAACAATTACTAATACCTTTCTCCTTCATGGTTTAACTTTAACATTTCCCAATCTCTATGCCTGCAGTTAAAATCATCCATAGTTATGACCTCATTAGCAGGTGAAATCTTAATTTCACTGTAAAGTTTCTCATTAATTTCATCAGTATCATCTGGTGGTCTGTAACAAATTCCCACTAAAAGCCTTTTCCCTTTATATTCGTTAATGGAAAACACAAATTGATACAATTTCCTTGTTATTATCTTTGTTATCCTCAACTTCAACTGAGTGTAACTCGCATTTTACGTATAAAGCCACTTCACCCCTTCTCTTTAGTACTTTATCCCTATGTAAATACCTATAACCCTGTATTTCAAAGAAATTTTTGTCATCAATATCGTCTACATTTAACCATGCTTCAGTTATTCCCATTATATCAAAATTCTCCGTTCCTACCAACACTCTGGAGTCATTTGTTTTATTTCTTATACTTCTAGCATTGCTATAATAACAATTAAGCCTACCTTAGAACTACTTTCATACTCATTTCTCATGAATTTCGACCATTGTTACCATTGGATATTTGGTTTATTAATCGTACCAATGGTGTTTACAGACACTTAGATGAACAAGTTTTATTTGCACAGTTGTTAACGTCACAGTACTATGTGTAAAATCATTTTTGCCTTACCAGTTACGGAAGTATCCTTGTGTGGTTTGACCTAGAACTAAATTTCTTTGGTCACAACACACCAGATTTTTATTGGAAGATGGCTGCTGAAAATTCCACCCACCTTTTGTTTGTAAACAAATCAAATTACTAGCCAGAGGAATATTTTAAATATATAACTGATGCATTGCTGCCCTCTTAAGTCAGAAGTTATTACTAGAGCTGGAAGAATTATACTATTAACTTTTGGACACCAGTTTGTAAACAAAGAAATTAACCGTGAAATAATCGGCAATATTTACTCTGCAAGACATTTAGCTGAGATTATTAACTGAAATTCTGTACTGTATTGTATATAAATATATTAAGTGCGAGTCTTTGTGTTGTTTTTATTAATAGATAGGTGGCACTAGTTACCATTGGATATAATACTCTAAAAGTTGCATAAGTTCTCGATATCACTTCTATACTACTAGAGGCTCTACTTGTTCCATGCAGACTTCTTTAGATTGCCACGTTACCTTCAAAATTAAGAGGCTCAAGGTCATTCAAGGTAAAAAATGACAGCCTGCTGAAACTACCATGAAGAACCTCTGAACGATATGATTTTAAAAACTTTTTGTTGTAAATTATGCGATGATTCTTAAAGATAAAAAAATTCAGGGAACTTACATAGTGGTGACCATAATGGATAAGTTTACAACATAATACGTTTTGTTATATCTTTCCAAAGGTATTCTTCAGACTTAAAAAGCAGGCAACGGTTTAATAACCGGTATTATTATTTTTTAAACCAAAAATACTATTTAATTTTTTTTTCATTCTAAAGCCATATTTGTTCTTATTGAAGAAAAGTTTAGATTCAAAATTGAACTGATTTTATTAGTTATTAACTTCAGATAAGTATTTAGATTCATAGATCAAAATCTGTTTGGTCTACTAACTGACTTCGTTTATATCTAAGATAGTTTTTTTCAGGTGAGAGGTACAGTAATGGAAATGATTAAGGAAACGCATTAGTGATATATACAGGGTGTCCATAAAGTCTTTTTACAATTTAAAAAATTTATTATAAAGGCAATGGATTAGATATCTTTATCAGACTTGTTCTATTGTACTCAGTGGTTTTCAAAGTTTTTTTACCTCATTTAATACATCTCTATATGGGCACCATTAGTCGCACGAAGCACATCAAGACGGTACTCGATTTCTTGCCATGTTCGCTGTAGCATAGCCTCATCAATGGTTGCAATCGCATCTGTTATCTTTTGCTTTAGTTCAGTAATGTCCCGTATCTTTGTTCGATACACGATATCTTTAACATAGCCCCATAGAAAGAAATCCAAAGGTGTGATATCTGGTGAACGTGGTGGTCACGGAATTGGTCCATCCCTTCCAATCCAACGGTCTGGAAATGTTTGATTGAGGAACTCACGAACATGCAGTCCCCAATGTGGTGGGGCACCATATTGCTGGAAAATGATGGTCGGTTGAAGGTCCTGGAGTTGTGGTGCCACATATTCAGTCAAAAGGTCAAGATCGACATTTGCAGTAATTGATCTCTCGTTGAAGAAAAATGGACCAATAATTCGATTGCATATAATCCCACACCAAAAATTCACTTTGGTTTTTGATTAAAAACTTTGAAAACCACCGAGTACAATAGAACAAGTCTGATTAAGATATCTTATCAATTGCCTTTGTAATAAAATTTTTAAATTGTAAAAAGACTTTATAGACACCCTGTATATACATGAGTCACAAACAATGAATAGTGAAACGTAGGTGGTGAATTTTTAATGGTGCTAAACATTGTGGAAATATATACATATAAAATGACAGCAAAATAAATCATTCAGTGCACTGGTATTTTGTATATCAACTATTTTGCTTTAAACAC